TAGTAAAATTCTGATATTATTCTCACTGGAATTCGCTAAAAATATTTTAAATGAAATAGAATGTGGCAAAATCAATTCCATGTCTTGTTTCTACTGCCACTTTGAGCCTTTGCCCATCCCTTCACCCCTCCTTAATCCCTCTGACATTCTAGGATCCTTTGCTACTGTCTCCTCTCTCTTCACTGTCCAAAATTCATTGTTATGATTCACAGGTGAGCAGGACTGACTGACTGTCTATGAGAGACTGCATAGGAGAAAAAGATTATTCAGAAAGCACCTAAAATTTTTCACAGACTGCAAACGAAAGATGCTATCACCTGCCAAAAGGGTAAACATGAAGGAGTGAGAAAACATTACACACACCAAAAAAAAAAGTCTTTTTCTCTAAGAATTTCATTTTCCTCTGTGAGATGTGAGACTCATTCATACACAGCTCACACATGTGCACAGTAATTTTCCCAGGAACCCTGAGAAGCAAGGGAGACTGCAAGAAAACTATTCTCACCCTGAGAATCCAGACTGCTGCACTTCTCCAACAGGAGATCTATGCAAAAATCCCTGTGAGCAGGGTCTGGGCATTCCCACTCCACCTGCAAGAAGTCCACAGTCACAGCACTGAATGTCAGCCCTGAAATGAAAAACAAAAAGAAATACTCTGGCCACTTTCCCATAGGCAAAGTGCTTTTCTTAAACCGAGGAGACATTTTTCTGGTGTAGGTGAGTGATCATAATTATTCAAAAATTGCTTTCTAGTATTATTTTAATCTATAGTGAGTTTTCTAATTATGAAATAGTGTTGCCTGATCAGACTCTCACAGCATGCATTCTGCACTGGCCTGGACCTAAGGTGTAACATAAGAACTCAGCATGTGATGACACATTGCTGAATGCTGTATTTACATACTAGACTACACACATTTCAGGTGGAAAAATTAATGGGTAGTAAAAAGTTTGCCTACTAAATGCTGATATTTATGGTCATAACTGGAGCACTTGATAAATTATATTTTTGATTCAATAAAATATTCAGTGTTTCTTCGTGTGATTTTTATCTACAAAGCTTTCTGGGGATGCCTAGTCCCCAAGGGCAAAGGTCACACAAGCGGTAAAACAGGGGCATTAAAAAGCATGGATGAATTTAAATTCCGGGACCTTTGGAATTACCACAATAGCAACAGGAACCCTGTTTGCAAACAATGGATAATGCAAATTCTCTACCAGATTATTTTGTGAATAGTTTTATGACTGAATATTCTGGTAACCACAACCATAAAATGAACGTTTTTTTTTAAAAAAAAAAAAAAGTAAGACTCAATACATAGGATCTCAAACTTACTGGAAATGGAAAGATATCCACAAGAGAATTTGAAAAGTTGAGTCTTACAAATAGCCTCGGGGACCTAGTTCCCTTCCAGTCTGTTTCCCAGCCCCACAGCTCCTCTGACCTGGGAGATTCCAGGGCCACTGCACTGCTGACTGGTGACTTTCCCAGGCCGCCCCACAATAACTGTACTGTGGCTCCAGGAAGTTTTCAGGTCCCCAAATACCCTGCCGGGTCGTCCTCATCAAGTTCTGGACCATGCGTCTCCTAAAGTGCAACACGAAATGGTGGAATTTCCTGTCCCTTCAGCCTGGTTCCTTGGAGCCTCTCCTCGTGGCCCTGTCCAATACACCCGGCCTAGGATGTTTCCTCTAAAACTGCCTACCAAAAGTTCTTTTCCTTTTTTACTTTTCTAAGTCCACCCCCTATCCAAAAGCCAGTGACGGTGAAGGTCACAAGCCTTAAGAGGGAATCTACTACTGACATTTTGCTACATGTACAAATATTCAAAAATATTTACTGGTTCTGTTCACATCATAGTCTGGTGTTGCTTTCAGCCTGGGTTTAAAAAACTGTTTTCAATGGACCACAGTTACTACAGAGATTCGCAGTTCATCAAATACTGAGAACAACTGACCACTTACTGCACAGGCTAATATGGGAATTCCATCTTCTCACATCTAAATTGCAGAGAATATTACAGAAGAGGAGGTAAAAGATTTTAGGAGCTGGAGGATGGGGAGGTGACATGTGAAAAATTCTCCTGCCATATGACATGCCAGTTGGAATTATAGACACATCACGGTCTGGCTATCTGGCCCAAACCTGCCCAAATCATACATAAAATATGAGTAGGACAATTGGGAAGAAAACATGTCTACCTCTGGATGGGACATAGGATGACAAGGGGGTAATAATGAGTGAATAAACCTATGAAATCATTAAATATCAATATTTATTAATTATAAAAATTGAACAAAATTTATACAAATAGAAAAAAAGTGGAGATATAAATGTCTATTTGGAGATAGAAATTTTGTTTTTATCATCTATATAACCAACTGATTAGACAATTTATACTGTCTGTTATTGCTTCTATTTATTTAATTAAAACTGAACAGTAAACAACAAAAACAAAGTCAAAAAAACACAAGAAAAAGCTAACTAAGTACAAGAGAGACATGTAAATACAAACTTGAATTCACTGAAGGAATGGAGGATGACACTGAAAGATGGGGAAATGTGCATGCACATGGAACACAAACCATTATTGTGAAAATAAGAGTGTTAAAGGATTTATACGATTAACTCAAAACCCACGACAATGCACCGGTACAGTAAAGAGTCTCCTACAAATTTACATGGAAGCACAAGGACCCTAAGAGTGCAGAGCAACCCCAGACACAGAGCAAAGCTTGAGTCATCCCAGCTGTGATTTCAGAAGACACTGCAGACCCACGGGAACAACAGCACCATGGCAGCGGCAGAAGAGCAGACACCTAAAGCAGTAAGAGCAGCAGATCCAGAACCAATCCAACCTGCTGTGACGAAACGAATTTCTCCAAAACGCCAAAAACTTATGTTATGGAATGGGCAACCTCATCAACCAGTGTTGTAGGAAAAAGTAAATACCAACATATAAAACTAGGTCCAAAGGAATGAATTGGAGAAACCGGACTGCATGCAAATGAAAAATTGAATAGAAATGGTAATACGTGAAAGTGTGAAGAAACAGCCTACAGAATGAATAATTTTATTAGCAAACTTCCATAGGACAATACATAAATACCCATACTTTACCAAGAAGTTAAAATGGGAAAAAAAACACAAAGCAAATAAATGATAATGCAATCAATAAATAAGCCCAAAAAAATCATGCTCAAAAGAGTTGAAGCAGTCAAAATACATTTTACATTCTCCACACTTTTTGTCAGGGAGAAAATGCTCATCTAATATACACTGAGATCTTTTCTCTGTCCAATCAGTGTCTACACTCAAGGCTCTAAACAACAGCAAACACTAGAGACAATGCAGGAGGAAGAATACAGAGACACAGTGTCAGTGGGAATCCAACTTTCTGCAGCCACTGGGCAAGTTAGTGTGCAGCTTCTTGAACAACCAAACAAGCAAAGAGAAAACCTAAAGAAGATGATACTCAAGGTTATAAAGGAATGAAATATACTGCAAATATAAACAGTATAAGAAGGAACTCAGAAAGAGGAAAAGAAACATAATAGAGAAAAATTAACAAAATAGTATGCTTACATTTTCCTTCAGTAAATTCTTGAAGTGTATATGGGTAATATTCCCCAAACTAAACATGAAAATAGGATACAGATTCAAAAGAAAAAGAGAAAACATCCTTAAACCAAATTATATATTTTCTATAAAAGTATTTACTTCAAATGTAAGGATACAAAGTGCTAAGAAGGGATGATTTTTTAAAAAGATTTTCTGTGAAGAGGGTAGATCATAATTATGGTAGGTAAGAGGAAAAGCCAAATCTATCAATATACAAAGCAAAGACTATTAGCAAATGATCGAACACCCATTTCCAGAAAGTTATGTGCTCAACATGAATTCACCTCATAAAACAGTTTCCAAATACATGAAGCAATCAATGACAGAATGGTAGGAAGCAAAGAGACAACAATGCAGGAAGCTTCAATGTCCACCATTGAGAAAGAGGACCATGGAGAGCACTGAAAACCATTAATGCCTAGCAGCACTCCAGGGAATCATTTACACAACAGCAGAAAACTCCCAGTCTTCTCAAAGTTCAATCAGCATGCTCCAGTGTGGCTATGTCTTAAAATAGAACAAGTCTTCAAACCTAGTAACAATCAATGTTTACTTTGAATGCTGACATCAACAGTAAATAGAAAAGAGAAGAATACAAAAAGACATGTGAATACTGACTCATTGATAACATGTTCTCATTAAAACATGTGAAGAAATATAAAAGGATGTTTGTGTTCTGTAAAGATTCTAAGTAATTTGTAGGAAGATCTTACAGACATTTTTAATATAAAAGGAGAAAATATTCCTAAAATTTATAAAATTGTGAAAAACCACAAAGACTTCAAAAGTTCTGAGAGAAGGATCAAACCTAGAGGTAATTCCAAAATACATAAAAATTGTAGCAACACAAACTGTGGTGTGTTGAAGACAGACATATCAAAGGGAAAACAGTGTAGATGGAGTTTAAGAGTCAGCAGAAATAGAAATACATCTTATCAAAATCCCATTGGCATCGTTTTAGGAAATAGAGAAATTAAGCCTATAAGACACAGAACCTGAAGAAACTACAAGATCTTCCAAAAACTATGTGCAGGACAACCAAGAGGCTTCAATGATTCTAACTAAATACCAAATTAAAATTATAGTAGTGAAACCACTTAATATTGGTATAAAAAAACACAACCAGCAACATGAATGCAAGAGGGACATCACTCACATGCAAAAACAAATAACATTATATTTGTCTCTGAGCATTAATTCTTATGTACAGAGTCTTCAAACACCTACAATAGGACAATCCTGAGATTATTCTCTGTAGATTTCTCTAGAATCATTTCTAATGAAATAGAATGTGGGAAAACCAACTTCATGTCTTCTTTCTACTGTCACTTGAACCCTTCCCCATGTCTTCACCCCTTCCTTAGACCCTCTAACATACCGGGATCCTTTGCTACTGTCTCCTCTCTCTTCTGCATCCAGGGCTCTTTGTTCTGATTCACAAGTGAGCAGGACTGACTGACCTTGTGAGGCTGCATAGGAGAAAGAGATTCTTCAGAAAGCACCTGGAACTTTGCAAGGAGCAAAAACAAAAGATACTAACATCTGCCAAAAAGATAAACATGAAGAAGAGAGAAAATATCAAGAAAAATGTCTTTCCCTGAGGATTTCCCTTTATTCCCTGAGATGTGAGACTCACTCACACTCAGCTCACACACATGCACAGTAGTTTTCCCAGGAACCCTGAGCCAGAGCAAGGGAGACTTCAAGAAAACTATTCTCACCCTGAGAATCCAGACTACTGTAGATCTCCAACAGGAGATCTATGCAAAGAACCCTGGGAGGAGGTCAAAATGGGCTCTGGAGACTGTTAATTTTTATCAGAACATATTTTATTTGATGCAGTAGCAGAATTTTTCCCATGAGCCTGTAGGTATCTGTAAGATAGCTGGAATGAATTTACATCATAGCAAAAGGGGTTGAAAATCCATAGAAATGTAAGGAGTCTTAAGAACTATTTGTAGTCAATGTTGTATCACTTTATCAAAGCTGCATTAATCAATATTAAAATTTTGAACCTCTGGAGTTATATCTGAAAACTGTCTGTCTTGTACCATGAAGTCTGTGAATGAGGTAGAGCTGTCTATAATTTTAGTAGAAAACTTATTAATGAACTGTCAGTAATCTTGAGGTTGGGGCTGTCAAACTGATAAACCCTAGTCATCAAACATCATCAGATCTGAGAAGGATAAATGTAAGAAGCTTTCCAGCTACCTAGGCAGCAATTCCAAGTCTCTCTGTGGTTGCTGGGGTGGGGTGGGCAGAAGACCCAAAGGAAGCATTTGTTCAGCTGATAGGCCCAGGAGATCCAACAGATTTTTTTCTTTGTTGAGTAGGATTTGGGGGAGGTCATCCTACCTATCTTGGTAGAGAGGACAAGATCCCTATTGCTCCTCTTTATTCACAGTCTAGACAGAATCTCAGTATTTTGCTGTATGATTGGCCTTGCCATAAGCTTCCTGGTGATGATATAGGATGCTGCTTCCAGGAGCTGACATGTCTCTTTACCATAAAAAGCTCTTATATTAAATGCCATATTCTCAGATCTCTACAGGTGTTTGAGGATTGAGGGAACAAAATCTGTTAGATGTATTTATAACTTTGAGAGAATATATATGATTCAAATCTGATATATGGGTTTCCCAGTTAGTTACAGCTTAATGAAGTTAGCAAGGTTGGGGCAGAGGTTGATCTTTGAGCACAGCCAGATTATAATCCTGAATGACTTATATAGAGATAATAATTCCCTAAGGTCATACAATATCTCCCTGGTTCTGCATAAAGAAAGTCAAGTGACTTATCTTATTACAGAACTATTTTAATTAATAAATATCAGTGGGCATTAGATAGCCAATTGGTCCTCTATGCCAGGCATTTTCATTCCTAACCTACCCCTCCAGCCTGTCCTGGGAACAGGGAGCACAGGACAAAGTATTCTCCATAGCTGCTTCAAGCTGAACTGGGGCACATGTGTTCAGGACCCAGGCAATGGGGTATTTATCAGAAGCATACGGTTGTTTAACCTGGCTGTAGAGGCAGGGGACAGTTATGTGTGGCTGTGGTCACATCACATAGACAAGAGTCTCTGTTGGCATCCATGGCTAGGAAGGCGCTGCAGGTTTCATAACTGCTGCTTAAATGTTTTGCCAACCTCCTGGACTAGAGACAAGAATTAAAATTTATGAATTTACTTGGAGACTTCAGGCCTGTAGTTTTGGTAATTGGAGAGCAGGAGAGAAAAAAAAAATACCATCTTCAGGAATAGACATGTGAGAAAGACTCCTGAACTGGGGCAGGAATGGGACATCTGAAAGGCAGCAGTAGACTCCTAACTATAGGTTTAAAATCCTGAGGTTATGACCCAAATAGTTTCAGAATTGGATTAGTTTTAAAATCTGAAATTTAAAATTTTAATCATTATTGCTGCTACTCTGTCTTGGCATAGGAGCGTCCTGTCCCCACCCACTCGAGTAGCTGGGGGGGGGGGGACGCCAGACATCAACTGAAATTCCCTCTGCCCAGATGGCTGGAGCCTGAGAGGTAGGCAGCTAGGGAACCTTCTCCTCAGCCCATGAAACAATGGTGAAATAATGCGTGGCAGGATTCCCTAACCCCACCCACACTTCCCTTAGTAAAGATGGTGCTGAGGTCATATGACCTGCCTGTTTTGATCTTAGCCAAGATGGCAGCTAGACCACATGATTGTACTTAGCCAAGATGGCACCTGCCTGACCATGTGACTGACCTTATTTAAGATGGCACCTAATCACATGGCTGCCCTTATCAAATATGGTACTTGACCTTTTTTTTTCCAAAACGAACTGGGCAGATATAGAACAGATAAACTGAAGCATTTCAAAGTCAATCAGAAAGAAATATAGATGGCCAAATCAATCATACTTTTCCATTTGCACATAGGAAATAGACTTTGTGAAAGAAAGACAGAGAAGTAGCAGTGCATCCTGGCAGGAGAATGGGCCGTGGCATGGTGTGGGCAGTTGCAGAGGAACAAACCCAAGCTATGGGTTGGCAGCAGGGGTGAGGTCAGGGGTCTACGACTCCACCTGACTTGACCCAACAGTATGAATGGCAGCAGCTGGCAGGAATACAATCAAATAAACAGATATTTTTGTGGCTAGTCTGCAGGCTGCCAGAGGAGCAATTTTACATGTTGCAGAAAGGAACCAAGGGATAGGTGACGACATCATTGGTTAGCAGAGGCTAGAGGAGCATGAGGGGGTCCGCGTCAGGAAGGGGGTTGGGAGGGTAGGTGCATTTTTCCACTACGACGAGGTATAACAGCACAAGGTAACTAAAGAACTGTCATCACAGAGGCTATGGGCTGTGGAATTCAGAAGGCAAAGGCCGTCTCCATATGCCATTGCATGGGGCAGGAGCTGAGTGCTATGAGCCCGACAGTCAGTAAGTGACCTCCAGCATCCCAGAAACTCAGTGAGAATGAATGACTCAGGATAGCTAACAGTCCAATGGCTATGGACCGTGGAGGGCATAGGACCAAGGGGCTTAGAGCGGGAAAGAGACGTGGTCAGCACCACAATCAAGAGAGACGAGCGAATCCTCAGTTGTGGAAAAATGGCCAAAACGGAAGGGAAGAATCGTACTGATCTGATAGGGTGACGAATTTCCGGCAGTCCTCCAGACAGAAAATACATGGGTGGTACAGGGTCCCAGAAGCTCTTCTAGACTGTCAGCAGGCAGGAGAAAGCAGTGGGATTGCCTGGCAACACTGGGCACCAATGTTATGATTTATTTTGTGCCCCCCACCCCTCCTGAGGATATCTCATGCATGCAGGGAACCGCGCTGGGCAGATGTAGGGCATGGCGGCAGTACACAACCCAGACGATGCAGCCTCGTGGAGAGTTTTAGTAGAGAGATAAAGTAGCAGAAAGACCGAAAGGGGGGGGGGGGAGAGAGAGAGAGAGAGGGAGGGAGGGAGGGAGGGAGGGAGTCAAGTGGTACACACCTCGTGGGAAGGAGGGAGAGAAGAGGAAAGAGGAGAGATGGCCGGAGTTTTTCCTCAAAAAGAGATTTTCACATCAGGACACAGGGTGACACCAAGGGGCGAGATCAGGAAATTAACATTCCAGATACACCAGCCCCTGCACCATCTGGCACCAGCTCCAAGGATGCCAACCCCCGACCGAGGACGTCAACTGAGATGGATGCACCCCCACCTCCAGAGAAATGACAGATATGATTGCTCCGACAATACTGAAGAACACATCCCTCAGTTCACTGCTGGTACCACCTCTCCAGGCTCAGGCAGCACCTGTCCAGCTGAAAGACCCCCTGAGGAGATCTTCCCTCAGGAGAGACCCCAACCCCAGGGAACACGCCGAAACCACGGATCAGATGCAAACAGCAAGAGGGTTTATTACACAGGTACCTGGGCGACAAAGTCTCTCAGAAGACTTGCGCGCCCTCCTAGGGTAAGGGGGACTTTTTATAGGTTTTCAGGTGCAGAAGCGCGGTTACAGAAGCGAGAGGCATAGTTCCAGGGTTCCCATTGGTGGATTCAATTGAGGTCAGGGTGAACTCTTAAACTTCTCGGGAATTTGATGTGTGTGTCTGACTTGGCCTTGCGGGTGTTTTCCCAGCCCAACTGTTTATTCCCCAAGGTCGGGTAGCTAACCACAGATGTCTTATTTTGACTCAACGGTTTTTCTCCCAAGGCTGGGTGGCTGACCACAGCTCTCTTTCCCAAGGCCAGGTGGCCAGCCACAGTCATGAACTCCCTGTTTTCCCTGCCTTGCAGAATGGCGTTTCTTAGGCTGAGTCAAAGCTTGCTATAAGTGGGGTCTTTCACAGCAACAGGAACCTGCCTTTGCAAGATGTCCTAATGAAGGACCTGCTCTCATGTCTCGCTTATTCATGATAACAATCTTTTTTTTCCACTTAGTAACCTGCTCTCTCAGCACATTCAGAACAGATGCCAGAGATTTTCATGGTGACACAACTCACTGAAGGAACCTGTGATCTCCACAGTGACATCTGACTGGATGCCTCTTCATTCATGTCTCCCCCCACTTTACCCCTTTCCAGTTTGAAGTAGCCTTAAGAGTTCAGAGCCCTTGTTCCCCGACTTGCTCTCACAACTCACTTCTTTTTATAATGATGAAAATGGAGAAATATTAATATTCTGACCCTGTCCTTGACGCCACCCTGTGTCCTGACATAAAAGTCTCTTTTTAAGGAAAAACTCCACCCATTTCTCTCTTCTCTCTCTTCCACTTCCTTCCCACAAGGCACGAACTCTCAAACTCCTCTCTCCCTTCCTCTCTCTCCCTCTTCTTTATGTCTTTTCCTATTTTTCTGTTTATCCCTCCTTATAATAAACTATTTCCACATAGATGCAGCCTCCATGTTGTGAATGTCCACCCGCCGCCCCACCGCCGTGTTGCATGGAGTGGGTCACCCAGCTGCTGCATTTGGCCAGCATGGTTCCCTGCA